CCGAAGACACAAGACGATTGGCAGTCTTGCCTTTACGTGACGGAAATCGGCAGTTTCAGCCTCTGAGGCAACTGAAATACTTCGTCGTAGAGGTTGCAACCATTCCGTCTCTGTAAATCTTGGTTGTTCATAAGGTACTGTCAACTGATTAGATAATTCCGATGAATCGACAAAAGCCCTTCGCTGTGAAATCGCGATATGACCTCCATAGCCAACACGGGGCGGGAAATTGCGCCTGCTCCTAGGCCGCTTCTCAAGTTGGCTAGTGTTTGCTTGGTAACACGTGCACTGGGGGTTGAAGGAATAAAGAAGCGCGGAGAATGCCTCTTTGACAGTCTGGCGTCTTCGACATGACAAGAGGAGGGCTTGAAAGGCACCACGGAAGAGGGCAAACGCCACGCTAGAAGAAAAAGGAGGCATCCGCCGACACCTGCTCGGGCCCCGTTATGGCCTTGCCCGGCCGCATGCCAGTCTAAGTCGATCGGGCCAAGGCTCATCGCTTCAACGAGGCGTACAGGAGTCTCCAGAGTTGCTCAAGGACAACGGCGTGCGGTCAGAGACGCCCCATCGCCTCATGGCGTGCGTGACACGGGAGTCAGCAACTGCTCGATGGGTTGAAGCTGCAGAAGCTGGGATCCTGCTGTAGCCCGCGCTCTCTGCTGGAATGGAGCCAGTTTGCTAATGTTTCCCCTGGCTAAAAAGGGAAGCAGATCGCTGCGGCCGGTGCTTCTGCATACTGGCAAGAAGTACCTCTTAACACTTTTGACATCGACCGTGACGGGTGATTGTCTAGACCAGACCGGACCGCAGACGGCTTCAGTCATACGAAGTCAAGCTTCGAGACAGCTCAGGTGAGGCAAGCAAGGCAAGTGACGGACATCGATCAAGATGTACATAATCGACAAGGACCTGAGGACGTTGAGAGCGCTGGGTGCCAACCAGCTTTGAGCGACCGAATGCGACGGCAACGCGTCGCCATGTAGATCTCGAATTTGATGGTTCGCATTGAGTAACGGAGGGTTCGAAACGAAAGCCGACGGGCCCAGCGCAGCAAGATGTTGTAGGCAAGCGGTCAGGCACCCGATGATAGCATGACCCTGTTAAGAAAACATTGGGACACGGATAGCCAACTTCGTGTCTTATGATTGGCTACCCAAGACAGCAAAACAATATCCCACGAAATGATGGCCTGTATCAGGAGCCCAGCCGAAGTTGATGCAATTGGGCTGCTGTCCCTTTCATATCGACCTGACGGTTCAAATCCCACTCAACTCATCAGCGCGAGCCACTCTGTTTGAGTCTCTGGCAGCGGCGCATTCTGAGTCAACAGGCAAGTCTGATGACCGTCAAGAACGCGCCCGTCGACCAGGACATGCGCATGGCGCAGTCAAAGTCTCATGGAGGCCCGCAAAGCACGAAGGGCAGCTGCCAATGTCACCGCTTCGTCTCCGGTCGGGCTGCCAGGTCGGTCAGTGATGCCGAATGACAAGTGACAAGGACTGTCGACCATCGAAAGACAGACAGAGCCCCATTTTGCCCGACTGTCCAGCCGATCCCCGGCAGCCGAGAGTTGGGCAACGGTCAACCGTGTCAGCCGCTGCTGCAAGCCCACGTTGTCTCTTGTGCTTGGTGCTGAAGAAAAGGACAGCCACTTAGGCTACCGATATCGCCATGGGCATCAATCCTAGGGCTGACTTGCACCAGATATCCGGCCTGTTGTTTACGGTTGTCCCCGGAAACGAGGACGCGGTTACTGGCCGCTACTCGCGACCTGGCAGCGACTTGCATGACGGACGTCTGCACGGGGAATTGGTTTGCTGTGTGTAGCTATGTCCCATCCAATCCTCTTGGGGAGCCAGCCCAAGATGCAGATGGACCCATGCATCCCGTCCCATTGTGATCCCATCCCGGCAGGCGGCTTCCCCCAAATCCCCCATTCCCACTGGACAGATTGACATGTTGCTTTAGGCGTTGAGACAGTTGAGCGGTGCCCCCCATGCATGGGGTCCAGGGTCCTCTCTCTTGGTTGATGCGGCGACGACGAGGACAACAAGATGCCGCGGTGACGCAGGGACACACGTCGTCTTCGCAGACTCTTGTTGGTCTGGAGACTTTGGAAATGGAGCCTGAAGACTGGGACCTGGGCCCGTGGGAGCGGGCACACCAATAGCACTCGTCATCAGCGCGACTGGAAACGAGAGACGCGTCGAATGATGGCTCCGGACAGCGGAAGCTTTCAGTGCGGCCCCCTTTGGGACGAGTCTTGTAAACTCTGAAGTGCAAGTGCGGTGCAGAGACCCGGCGCAACCGCAGCGCAGCCGCGCCACTTGGTTACGCGCACACATGGGATGCTGCAGCAACCCGAAACTCGAACTGGCTACTTGGAAGCTGGACGAGTCGTGCAATTGCGAAGTAGGTAGTAGTGTCGCGGCGGTGGATCATGGAATTGAAGTGAGGTGGTACGGGTGAGCGTTGCCGACGGCTCATCTCGAACGCGATGCCATGCGATGCGAGTTGATGCGGCTCCCCGAGCGCCTCATTCGTAGGGGAGAAGTGTATATCGCAATTCATCTCGCTGCGATTGAACAGCGGGGTCTTCATCAGACGCTACGAGCGCGAGCCATTGAAGAAAATGACAAAAAGCCAAATCTGTGGTTGCTTGTGTCGACGGCTAATGGCAAGAGGGTTGGGTTGACCTTGGGCAAGCGGAGCGGAAATGATTGTTTGTCTCTATGGAGAAATTCAAGATCCCTGGTCGTTTTGTTTTTGGAGTCTTGAACCCCTCTCTCAACTCTTAAGTCCCTAACGGCGGGAGGGAATCAAAGCGATTTGACGGCGCCCGCCAGAGAACTTTTCTCCCTTCCCCTCTTGAATGATCAGTCGGTGCGATGGGATGGATCACATTTGATGGGCGTGGTGAGATGGGACGAGATTGATGGAGCGAGGTAGGGAAGGATGGATTGAATTTGATACCCGCCCGCTCCATAAGATTTGCCTCATTTTGGGAGGTTATTTAGCGGCCAGGGAAACAAAAATCACTACGAGAGGGGACGAGAGGGGGGCAGCAGCACGCTATTTGGCGGGTTCCATCTTCCATTTGCTCACACCGCCCAAGCTGCGATTTCCATGAGGTAGGTGCCACCTGGGAACCCGTAGGTTGGTGGGAAGGAAGTTGAAGTCGGTAAGGCACCGTGGGCACCTGCGGAGTCCCTTTTTCTGCTAGCGCAGACCAGAGAAGGAGCAGCTCGTGCAAGGAACGAACGGGTATCCCTGTTGAACGGGAACCCGACCTCCCTTTCTCAAAATCAAAATGCGAGTTTTTGGACGGGGCCCAGCGAGTGAGCGGGCGGACGGCGGGCGGGCACTGGCACCGACCACCACCACTACGGGCACTGGGCAGTCCAGTCCAGTGTCCACCCACCCTCACCACCGCTATTTCGTCGCGCTACTGCCATCATCACCCGCCGCCGCCTTTTTTTTTTTTCTATTTTGCAGCGAGTTTTTCCTAGGTCCCCCCCAAATCCCGTCCCTTTCCCCGCCCATTTCAATGTTTCCCCCCCCCCCGGTGCACTGCAGTGCGTTCGCCCACCAAGCCCGGCCTCCATGTCTCTGGCCTGCAGCTGCAGCGTGTAGCGTGCTCAAGGGACCTGACCTTGTCTTCCTCCCGCCGTGTAGTTTACCACTCTAAATGAGAGGAGAGATACTTGCCGGTTAAATCATCCTAAGGCATGTAGGTTTGCTTCGGCCTCGTACCTTACTTTCCGGGCCTTAGGTAGATCCTCACAACAGAGTCAGGGACCTGGCCTCCATCGCCTGGGCCAGCCTGCAGTCTGAGGGAATGATTGGAAGAGTGGATGTATGGCCTCTGTCCTCCTCCCCTCTGTGTTTGTAGACAGTTCAATCCGGTCACCTCGTCTTCGACGGCACTGGAGAGCAACAAAAGGCAAAGCAAAAAGAGGTCAGGGAGACAGACGTACGTAGTAGGTACCTGCGCCTGCACTTCAGTTAGATACCACGCTGCACCTGCACCGCTTTCTCGCTCCCGGCATCCATCCATCCAACTTGCACCAGTCCAGTCTCTTCCTCCACCCGCACTCACTGCACGCTTCTGATTCGCATCTAAGCACCTCTAGACGGGGGTGAGGAACCGAGAAAGAGGCTCCAGTGTGCTCCTGTGCTCCAGTGCTCCAGTCCAGCGCTCCACCACCCTGGTCGTGACCACTGACCTGCCTGCCACTGACAAGCGGCGACGGGCCCTTCTTTTTCGACAAAAACAACCACCAGACCAGTCCACTCCAGGACCAGTCCCGACCAGACCAGTCGTCGTCGTCTCGTCTCGTCTCCTCCAGGACTGCACCGGTTCACACTCCAACCTCACTCCAACCTGCCCCCGACGGCTTGGTGGTAATCCCGACCGCGCACGCCTGCCTCTACTTTCCACAACACCTCGTCGACTTCGAAATCTTCAATCCCGTCTGTTTTCCCCGTCGACGAATCGCCGCCACACCCCATCGACCGTACCGCCCTGCCCTCTGTTGTTCCCCGGAATGAGGTAGCATCATCAATGCTCTCAGCTCCCTGACCGGACTGAGGTTGCCCGCTCGCGAAATCGCACCGCGCCCTCGACTCAACATTCGCCGACTTCCTAATCTCGCCACATCTCGCCTCGTCGGCTTCTCTACTCACGCCTTCACGTCCAACGCTCGCATGACCTGCGCGCTGGCCGTTGCACCGAGTACACATGATAAGGGAGCATAGAGTACCTGCTGGCCCGCGACCGGCGAACCAGTCCCCGACAAGACTGTATGGAATGCCCTCATCTTTCGTTTCCCGCTCTTTTTTTCAACCCCGTCCCGCCCCCCTTACCCGCTCTTTGTTGCTGCTGTGCCCTGCATCCCTGAAGAAACCAGTGTGCTAATCCGCCAAAAACTTGCAGTAATAGGGGCATCCCGGACTCGAGAATCACCTCTCCCTCAAAGGGCTCGCTCGCAGACGGTCCAATGCTCAGTGCATCTTCGGCCAACAACCACTCTCTGTTTTCATTCGGCCGGAATGGCGCCGCGAATGAAGTAGGAGAGTCGACTAATTCTTTCGACTTTCTGCCCTCGGTCAGCTTCGACGACCTCCAAAGCAGCCTTGAGTCCGCATCCCACGATTTCAAATTGACCCAGTTCCCGTCCCCGACCGGTCAAGGCAGCATTCTAGAGACTCAGGGCATGACCGACAAAATGGGCGGGGGTTCCAATACGACCCAGAACGGCGGAGCCGCGCGTGCTGGTGGTATTCCTCAGACCGCGACCCGCCCTGGTAGATCTGGTTCTATTCTGAGGAGACCTAGTACCTCCAACAGACAGGCCAGCATTTCATCCATCGCCTCAGGACCATCGTCCGGCACTGATTCTGCGACTGGGTCTTCAGCCGCGAGACCCCGACGTCAGAGTCATTATCCTCCAGTATCAAACACCAACATCACCAACATTGCGAAGCCTCCCAGGAAATCCATCGGTCCGGGTCCCATTGAGACGGACTTCGGCAGTCGCACCGCGCAAAGGAGTAGGAGACCGAGCATCATAGGCAACGCTGGTGGTGGACCCGATTCCACTCGGACCTCGATCGATGGCAGCTCCGGCGCTGGTTTTGAGACTCCGCGAAACCTCACGAACAGAGCGACCAAAGCTAAATCGATGCACCAAGCACTACCCCGGACAAGCACCACAAATCTCTCGACCCCCGACAGCAGTCGTCTGTCCACGATATCTCCTCGATCACCTCGAGGTGGAAGTAAGGGAAATACTGGCGGCGCTGGCGGTTCTGCCCATTCGCAGTCGAGAAGACAGTCAGTCATGCCTGGAGGAGGGTCTCACGCATCGCATGCAAGCGGTCTCGGTGCCAGGACCATCAGTCCGACCGACACGCGACGAATGAAGCGCATGTCCATGCACCACGTCCCGAGTCTCACCCAGCTGGCCAACGCGCCGCCTCCCCCGCCGCTCGAGCACCGAGAACACTCCAGATCCCCATCGATGATACCCCGAAAGGCATCTGCCACGCCATCATCATCTCGAACGACTCCCGACATGCACAGAAAATCGTACAGTTCGGGCTTGTCCATCACCTCGACCAACAGCTTTAATACCATCAGAACCTCCACCGGCTCATCAATCCAGCCACGGGCACCTGCCGCGGGAAGTGCGTCGCGTCTGCCAGCCCCCAAGCAATTTACCCCACATAACCACAACTCCCATTCCGCTGATGACGAGGAGGACGTTCCGCCCGTGCCTGCTATTCCGAAAGCGTACGAATCACCACAGCAGTCAGCCACAGAAGGATCGTTTTTGGACAAGCGGAAAGCCAATCTTGCTGCGGATGCTAGCAGCATCAATAGTAACTCCACTGGCAGTTTCTCCATCCCATCGCTCCCTGAACCCGCTGTCAAGCTGGTACGAAAGCCCAGCACCCGGAAGTCGACGAATGCAGCAGCCCTGGACGCCGAAAAGAAAGGCAACCCGTCTCAATCGAGAAAGAACCCTCCTCCTCCTGTGCGGCTGCCCCCAATTACTGTTGGGCCGCTGAACCCATCCACGACCGCCAAGATCGCAGCGTTGGGTCAAAATGGTCCCGACAGGAACTTAAGCCCGCCACCGTCGCGTATTACCGCGAAGACGCCCACCACCCCCATGACCGCGTCTAAGAGCTCCTTCTTCTCCAGGAACCGACAAGACGATAAGTCGGACTTTAGCCTGCGAAGCAGCAGTACTGTCCACCACGCACGTCTCGACAGTGCATCTGGCGCTGATGGTACAAGCTCATCCGAGTCATTCGAGGCCTTGTCCAGAAAGCCAACCAACAAGCCCAGCGTGTCCCCGTTCTTGTCTTCTTCAGTACCCAAGGGAGGCCCCGATCCTGCTTTCCTGAAGAGGTCCAAGACCGGCGGCGACTTGAGCAACATCACTGGGCCTCTTGACGTGAAGCCCATTCAAAAGCCATCTGGCCCGCGTGCTCCCCGCCCCTCCAAGGCAATCTCGCCAACTCCGCCAGCGTCCGATCCAGAGGAGCCCCCTACGCCATCATCAATGAGCTCGCTGCGTAGAAAGCTGAGCTTGTCGTGGAAGCGTGGAAAGAACGACTCAAAATCTGCACAGGACAAGACCTTGGAGCGCAGCCTTAGTAAGGAACAGATGCCTCCGCCACGCTTGCCCATCTCCGCCACGGTCTCGAACCTCAGTTCGGCAAAGAACAGCCCAAGCCCGTCTGTCAAGGTTAACACATCTTACTTGGATTCAAGAAGGAGGAAGAGCTCAGCGGCAAGCTTGGGCCACGATAGGACTAAGAGTGAGAATTGGACCTCGGCTTCCGTTCCTAAGGCTCACCCCGAATCATCTCACCCTCATAACCCTTCTGTCATGCAAAAGATTCTTCGCCCGAAGGCGTCAGCGACGGCGATTCGCCACCAGGACCCGTGGACCGCAGATCTCGACAAGGACGATCTCGTTGCCGAGGAGGAGATGAAGAAGATGGGCGCAAGAAGAAAGGAGACCGAGATCGCGGCTCGAACTCTTGACGCCCTGAGGAAACGCGCAACGCCAAAGGAGCGAGTCGGTGCCCAGGAAGCCATCCGGATCGCGATGCTCAACATTTACGAGCGCGGCGAAATCGTTGATTACAACGACATTTACTTTTGCGGAACGCAGAACGCTCGCAAGGTGGTTGGTGATCTCCAGTCGGACGCGCCCAACTTCGGCTACGACGACGAGCGTGGAGACTACACCATCGTGCCTGGCGACCACCTCGCCTACCGCTATGAGATTATCGATGTGCTTGGAAAGGGAAGTTTTGGCCAGGTCGTCCGGTGCATTGATCACAAGACAGGCGTGCTTGTTGCCGTCAAGATCATTCGCAACAAGAAGAGATTCCACCAGCAAGCTCTTGTCGAAGTCAACATCCTGCAAAAGCTTCGCGAATGGGTAAGGTTCAAAAAATTACACACAGTTTCTCAAGCTAACAATAGAACAGGATCCTAAGAACAGGCACAGCATGGTCAACTTCACCCACAGCTTCTACTTCAGAGGACATCTCTGCATATCTACCGAGCTTCTGGATATGAACCTTTACGAGTTCATTAAGGCGAATGCGTTCCGCGGATTTTCTTTGAAGCTCATTCGCAGGTTCACCAAGCAGATGCTCAGCTCACTGAACCTTCTCAAGCAGCACAAGGTCATTCACTGCGATCTCAAGCCAGAAAACATTCTGTTGCGTCATCCCCTGCACTCAGAGATCAAGGTCATCGATTTTGGTTCCAGCTGTTTCGAGAACGAGAAGGTGTACACCTACATTCAGTCGCGTTTCTACCGATCCCCCGAGGTCATCTTGGGAATGACATATGGCATGCCCATCGACATGTGGAGTTTGGGATGTATCCTGGCCGAGCTGTACACCGGAGTGCCCATTTTCCCTGGTGAGAATGAGCAGGAACAGCTCGCTTGTATCATGGAGGTGTTTGGTCCGCCAGAGAAGCACCTGATTGAGAAGAGCACGCGCAAGAAGCTGTTTTTCGATTCCATGGGCAAGCCACGTCTCACGGTGTCCTCCAAGGGACGAAGACGTCGTCCTTCTTCCAAGACCCTCCAGCAGGTTCTTAAGTGTGACGACGAGGCATTCCTCGACTTCCTCGCAAGATGTCTACGATGGGATCCGGACAGACGTCTGAAGCCGGAGGAGGCCATTCACCACGAGTTCATCAGTGGCAAGAAGATGAGCGCCCCTCTCCCGCGCATCCCCACGACCCGCGAGGCGTCTCCGGCGAAGCGTCACACTACGGCTGCGGCACCGCGCCCACTCCCCGAACCCCCCGCCGCAGGTTTCAAGAGCAACCCTGGATCGAGACACGTTAGCGGGGCAAGCCCTCACAAGCCCGTCTCGGGGCCGCCGACCTCGCGCAGACCCTCGGTCGCAACCGCCGGAACCGTCCATGTTGCCACGGCCAAGCGCACCAGCACGGGGACAGGCGGTATCACCGTCGGAACCAGCAACCTCCCTCGCGCGGCGATGAGGAGTGTGAGCGCCAAACAGGACCTTGCATCTGCCGGAGCGACCGCGGCCATGAGTCGGCGACAAGTGTAGGGGAGGCATGCAGGCCGGCCAGGATTGGCAAGATAGAAAGAGCCAGACGGATCACGCATTTACAGGCGAGGTGGTTTACGAATCATTGGGTAGTTGATTGCTTTTGTTTTTTATTCCCTCCTAACGCTACATCCCTAACGGGCAGTGAACATGTTCCTGCGCCATGACCACGTTTGAATGGAGTGACGGAATACCCAGCACGAAGAGTCACAGCCGGCAGGAAAGGAGTCAAATTTGGGGCATGGCGGGGCAGTTTTCTTCATGATGAGCGAGCAGTCCGGGTGGTGGTTGTGGTGGGTGTCATGTCGGATCGGATGACCAACACACAGACACACCCTTGTTCTTTTTTGTTACTCAAAACCGCATTTTCTTTTCTTATCGTAACCTTCTTCTACCCTAGCTATATACAGACAGACACGAGTCTAAAGCCCCCTTCCCGCGGACAACCACCAGCAGAGAAGGGGCTCCATGTACGTTTGGTGAATGGGATGGAGGAGCGAGAACTCGTTAAAGGACGGGAGTGTCCGAAGAGGCACGGGCCGCTGTTTGCCCGTCCGTCATTTTTGCAAGGATAAAACGAGAACGAAGGCAAGAGATGTGTATATTAATAATGACGAATGGCCTTGGAATGAGTGAAATGCAGACCGGACTGGGGCAGGTGTGTTTGTGTGTGTTGCGGTTCATGTGTGACTCTAGGCATTGGTGAGGGACGACCGAAGATGTCGCTGCTGCCGGCTGCTACATCGCAATCACGGTAGATGTGAAGCAGTAGGACGGGGGTCAAGCAGGAGAAGGCACTTGCGTCCACACATGTCTAAGGCGAAGAAGGGTCAACAAAGTTTGCGATACTCTGCGGGTTGGCTGTGTTCTCTCTCCTTCCACTTCATCTAGAACCTCCTGAACTCTGTTGCCTGCGATATTTTGAGGTCGAGACACGGGCTGGAGGCGAAAACGTTGAAGGCAAGGCAGACGATGAATCGTTATTAGAAGGCGGGACGCCGACATGGTAAGAAGTATGCCTTTGGGGCCGCAAGAATGCCCATCTTTTGAGATGTTGTGATGGTGTGCCTGCTGAGAGAGATCATGAGGTTTGTCGTTTCTGGCCCCCGTTCCTTCCCAGGCAACGAGTGCGATCTCGAGAAAGGGTATGTATGGTATGTGGCGAGAAGCCAACAGGAAAGGAAAGGCAAAGGGGAAGGATTCCAAGACGAGGCCGGCTACGAACGGTTGGTTCTGTTTCGTTCGAGGCCTCCCTTTAGAACAGGCCACGCCCCCCCTTCTTCCTCCCCTGGTCAGCATTTGGGGGCCGAAGAACGAAGATGAGCTGTCACCTTTTCTTTTTTGCTTTCGAGGGTCGCTCTCTACGTACCGTACCGTTCCTGTGAAGGGGGTGGTTGTGGTGATGTGATGGGAGGTTTGAGGGTACACGTCCCAGATGGTGGAAAGGGTGGTGATACAATGGGCTGGTGGTGAGCCTTGTAGGGCTGGGGAGGAGGGTGTGTGTCTGGTCACCTCAGGGAGAATGAAAGGTGACACGAACGAAGCGCGACCGAGTCGCCGGGGTCACGGCAGATGGGCCTTCAAGTGCCGAGATTCGTCCCCCCCTTTTCTTGTTTGTTTGGTTGTATCTCTCGGTGTCCGTTTGGAGCCTTTCTACGAGGAGCTCGGGTCCGGGCGATACAGGCGGAAGCGATGGGATGAACCCTTGTACCCGGACGGACGGTTCTGTCAATGGGGCGAGCTGGGACTTCGATGAATGAAGATTTTTTTTTCTCTGCCGTTTTTGCTTTTGGGGTTTCCTCATCTGGACGAAGACGATGAGGCTGAAAGCTGGGAAAGGCCTCCGGTGACGATCCTCACCGAGAGAAGAATGACGGTGTCTACATTTAGCAGGACGAAAAGCAAAAAAGAGGGCATCACGAAAAAGCTTCCGGGCCACGGGCCACCGGGGCCGGGGTCATCCGTAGGCCTCCGGAGGAAAACTCCGTCCCGGAGGAGAAAAGATGCGGGGAGAGGATCCGTAGAGCTAGAAATAGAAAAAAGAAGCTATCGTGAAAGAACGGACCACCACCAGAAAAACAGGGTCTTTGTTCCCTGAAACATCGCGCTACCCCTTCCCTCCCTCCCCTGCCCTTGTTCGACCGTTTGCCGTGAGAAACGCGCTATCGCGGGTCATGACACAATCCCCTGTCCTATTTTTCTCGTCAAGTGGGAAATAAAGTGTCGATCACAGTGAAAGCTGAATGAGCAAAGCGCCCCCCTTGGAAGGTGGAGTGAGTCCACGCGCTTGTTGGTATGCATACCTGATGGATATTTTGACGGGATAATCAGTAAACACTAAATCAGAGTTCTGGCCTTGCATTGAGACTTGAGGACATGGGAGGAAGAAATTCGGAATGTGAAACGCTGTCACAAGCCGTGGCGACGGCCTTCCTGACGGATTATGTGACGTTCGGGGCGACCAGGTTCTTCGGTAGCACCGGGAAGGATGCGAGGGACGTTTCCCACGGCGGCAAGGCGGCTGTTGTCAGACGCTCCCAAGGTGTGCGCGTGCAAAGGTGGACAGGCCGAAGTGCGAAATATGCCTTGTAGGATTCAACGTCTGCCGAGGTGGTTGTTCATCGTCCCTGTGCCTTCTGGCGCGATGGATCCGCGCGGATGTCATGATCTGCACGTAGGGCGAAAGGCTTGACAGCTTTTCGACTCAGAACAAAAAAGATCGGCCAAGGAGGGCCAGCGGCTGTTCTCTGAAACAGGGTCTCTCGATCGAAGGGGGTCACCATACCCAGTGGTAAGGTTCGTAAGGCCGCTTGATAGACGCCGAGCGGGCCTTTTGACATGCAGGTTCGCCAGAGCTGAAGACATGGTCTGGGTCGGTCAAGGACTCAAGGGTCAAAAAGACCAGTCGAGACCACGTTGAGCCTCAGATTTGCCACCGGCATGCCGTGTTTCAGAAGAACGTTGAAGACGAACAAGTCAGGTATGCTCCGCTGCGGGTGCCTGGTCTGCAACGATCATACGAACTTCACTGGTAGAACGAGAGGCGCGGGAGGGGCGCGCCCCCGGATGGCTCCCCTCACACGCCGTAGTCGTGGGAATGCGGCCGCGGGAGGAGGCCAACGGCGGAGCTGAAGCATGGGGGGTCGAGGAGAAGACAATTTGCGGCGCGGTTCGGGGAGTTTTCTTCTCCCTTCATGACGAGGGGGCCTGTTCAGGTTGGACAGGACATTTGTGGATGCAGAGGTCGCACGGTCAGCATGGAAGGAAGCAGAGTCAAGTCGAGGGAACCGTTGAACGGCAGCATCGGCCGAGTACGGATTTGGAAGCGGGGCGTGGCTGGGGAGCCTGGGCCAAGCCTTGACTGTGGTTCAGCACCTGTAGACACTAGCCGCAATAGGCGTCAAGTTTCAACAACAGCGGGCGGCTCTGGGATGCGATCAAGGTACCAGGGACTTGGGAGATAGGGCAGGGGAGGGGTGAAGCTCTCTTACCTCTGAAATCACGGTGTAGGGTATGACGCGGGATTGGAGAGATGACGGAGGCTGCTCCGTAGCTTGCGAGAGCGGCTATCACGGCCGGGATTCTCGTTGAAAGCGTAGTTTGGTAAAGGCATCTAATGACGGCGATGACGGACGCGATGGGCAAGTGACGGGGCAACTCGTAAGATGAAGACGTAGACTGCATAGTCTGTTTGCTGTGGATGGTGCGCGGAGGGACTTCTGCCCGACAAACCAGGCATCCGAGGACGCGAATGTCTCATTGAGCTTCGCGATAAGAGCAATGGGAAGCAATGACGCTGGCAGTCGGAAGTCGAGTGCAGCATAGCATAGCGGTATGGCGGCAGTTGCATACGTAGTGTAGGAAGTGTGGAAATGTCGAGCAGCAGGCCCACCCAAGACCGACGGCGACTCCGGCCAAGACATGGTGAGCAAGTCGGGGTGACGGCGTTGAGCGGTGGATAAAAGTGGACCTAGGACTCTTGATCCCACCGTGATGGGAGAAGGCCCTGGCCGCACTGCTGGCCCCAGGATCCGTGATGTGGTTCAGTCCCCGTGGCTTGCTGACTCCCGAGGCTGTGCTGGAGCTAACAAGACAGGGGCCTGGCCATCATCCACTGCAATCGACGGCCAGTTTCGACGGGAGAAGGTGAGATGGAGGAATTCGTCCAGTAGTAATTCGAGAAAGTCGCTGTGCTTCGCTCGTTATCCAATCGCTTGCGCTCCCTGTGAGACAGCAGACCCTTGCTCCCAGCGACAATCCCCCGCAAAGTGATGTATGTTGGAATGAACGAGGCTGATTGAGTCCCTTTTGCAGCGACTAGAGCAGGATGGAGTCAATGATTGTGCATACGAATGATTCGATTCTTGGTTTCGAGTGTGTGACTGCGTATCCGTAGCTCGGCGGTTCAGGTCTTGCGTCCTGCAGGTAGTTGACGACAGTCGAGACAAGCGTCATGCAGGTCCGGACTTGGAGGAGGTTGACATTGGCTGTGTTTCTGTCTTCTGCGTGTGTGGAGGATGGTGTATAGCACCCATGATAAAGCTTCTGGGATAGTTCCGCGATTGGATGCTGCAATAGGCGCAGAAGAGGGCGAGATGGGAAACGGAAAAATGGTCATCTTGGCCTTGTCCACACTCTGCGGGTTTCTTGACGCAACGCCCGCCTGCCCATACGGTTCCGCAGACGGGATGGGGCCGGTGGACAGTCGGAGCCATGGGTACGGGGGACACGTGCGAGTATCGGACCGTTGTAGTCGGACACCGAGTGCCGCGCAACCATTGGCGGTTGCAACACACTGGATTGTCCGTTGGATGCGCGGCAGTTGACGCCTATGGTCATTTTGCCCGGATTGTGACTCTTTTCCGGGCGTTGTTGTGTCTTGGACGACGTTTGGCCTCGGTGAGTGCAGGCCGCAAAAAGCGTAGTGGTGTACTGCTAGTTCTGAGGGTTGGGGTTACATCGAACACCCAACGTCTGCCGCGTCGTATCTCGGTACCTGT